TTCGGGTGTGGTGAGTTCCAGGTATGGTAGCCGTCGTTGGGTGGTCGTTGCCGCGATCCGTTTGAGCCACTACGACCTCGACCTCGTCCCCGGTTTCCACCGCCACGTCCGTGACCCCGTCCATAGCCGCTGCGCTGCCCAGAGGAGCCATCCCCGTTGCCGCTGCCAAAACTGCCCTGGGACCCGCCGGAGAAGCTGCTGCCCGTCGACTGGTGACTGCCGCCATAACCCCCGGAGTGGGGAGAACTGCCCGAGCGTGCGACGAGGGCCGACGATCCATGATTGTCCAGCGATGTCCGTTGTCGTTCCAACAAAAGAAGAGCCAAACGGGCTTGGAGGAATGTAGGCAACGGGTCCTGGAATTGAAGAAAAGAAGTCTGAGCCTGGAGATCCTCCGGGAGCCCTCGTAGCATCTGAAGAACGAGTTGGTGCTGTGATACCGGTGCATCAACATCATCTAGCCAATCGGCGATGTTGAAGAGAGTCTGACAGTAGGTAGCCATGGGGGTGTTGCCTTTGATGGTGGTGCGGAATTGGTGCTCGAGTTGCATGGCACGAGCGTGTTTGTTGTCATGAAAGAGATCGTGAATGACCTTCCAGAGAGAAGCTGCAGAAGTGGTGGAGGAGATGACAAGATCCGAAACTTCGTCGGTGATGGTAGAGATGATCCAACCCTGGAGAAGAGCGTCTAGTTGAAACCATTCATCGTCGTCTTGTGAGGTGGGGACGACGGAGCCATTGAGATACCTATGGAGGTTGAAGCGCCGAACTAGGAGGAGAAACAATCGACTCCACTTTTTGTAATTGGGTTGTGAGAAACTGAGTTGAATAGGAACGTGGAGTTTCACGTTGGAGATGGTGGTGAAGGCAAGGTGGGGAGATTTGGAGGTGGTGTCTTGAGAGGTGATCGCACTTTCAGCTTTGTCAGCCATGGTGGGAGAAGGGTTGCCGGCAGTGCAGAGCAGCGAGAAGGAGAGATCGGCGAGAGAGGGCCGAAGAAGAGAGATACGGCGATGGGAAGGTTTTAGGTTTAGGGTTTAGTTGGCTCTGATACCATGTAGAAAGGATATTTTCATTGATGATTTGTGTTAATTACATGTGTATTTATACAAGGGGTCTCAATCCTAATTATGGTAGGAGAGACATAGTAGGAAGGTAATACAATTATGGTAACACTATAATACAAGAATAATTAAATATAAATAATATATTTAACACTATATATTAAGACAAATCAAACAAGATCACACATGACTATATTTAGGCTTACACATTGAGAAAATTTGATAAGTCAAAGTGCTTAGATGAACAGTTCCAAAAGTCAAAAGTGGACAAAAACTGGGAGACGGAGAGAGTATAACGTAAATACGTGTCGTACGGGTGCAACGCACGAGTGTGATAATAGTGACTTTAAAAACAAAAGAGAGTGAAGAAAAAGTGGGGTAAACATTAAAGATGTTCTTAGGACGTGAACGAGGCAGGTCATATACTCAAATACCACACATTGATGTGGAAGTGTTCAACAAGTAAAAAACAATCTAGTCGGACAATGCAAGACAATGTAGTTGCATACTTGGCACTAGCAAGTCACTATTTTTGTCAATACACACATTTATTTATACTTCACCCGTCCTGTTTTATAACACCCGCTTTGATTTTAGGACATATTTAACGAAAAAAAATATTAGTATTGACTTTTTAGAAATACCCTTACACCCTATTATTCGAAAATGTTGAATTTGCAGCTCTTTCTTTACCCTCTTATCTCATGTGCACTAATCATATACGGAGTATAAACAATCAAACATTCACAAAATCAAACACCAAGCACATTCAAAATACATCACACCAAATTACATTCAAACATCAATCCTCAAAAAATGGAACAAAACAACTTGGAATAGCTTGAGGAACACCGGTAATTCAAAGCTTCGTCACCATGTTATCCTTCAACTCCATCATGAACACAAAATCCAAAATTTCATCCATGAAATCTGAAAATTTTATGAAAAAAATAGAAATTAACATATATAAAAAAGGACAAATGTTTGTAGATAAAATCATAGAAAATGGAAATAGGAATACATGTTCGAAAAAAGAAAATCAAGAATACTCAAAGAACACACCTCGAAAGTGGATGAACATTAGAAATCAGAATAAAAAAAGATATTGCCACAAGAATCAAAATCGAAATGCAAAGGGGACAAATAAAACAAAATTGAAAACATATTTAATTTAAAAAAGTATCTTTAGTTATAAAGTAAATTTATGAATAAAAAATTACTCTATTTTTCCCATCCGTTTCTGCCTCCTTTAGAAATCTGTTCTCTTTTTACCTCACATACATTTGCTTCGCGACATGAGGTGGCACACGAGGTGCTGCGCGAGTTGGTTTTTGCCTCGCCAATTGTTTTCTTTTCTTCTCTACTAGTCACAGAACAAAGACAACAATTTATACTTCATTAACCTTTACTCTTAAAATGACAAGTAAAAAATAATAATTTTGCAATAAAAGATGTAAACTACCTAGTAAACTATATAAAACCTTACAAAGAAAATTTGTAATCCCTAGTTCCATATTTTTATTCTAATTTGTCCTCATAAAAGATCATTTTTTCACACGAAAAAACACTATTGAGGATATTTTTTATTTTTTCATTCTGAATAATTTTCATCACGATGAAAAATAAACGAAAGAAATTGAAACACTTTTTTTGACAATCCAAAACGTGTGGGCAGATTTGTATTCCATTTTGCTAAACGAAATGATGAATTTGAAACTTCTCTTCTCTAACTATTGTCAATTTGTTATTCACAATTGTAAAAGTCTATAACAAAACATTGCATTTTAGAGTGTGGCTCGTAAAAAAAATTAATCAATCAAATTAACGATGAGATTATCTATTTCTACAAAAAAATTGTCTATTAAAATGCTCGCTTAAGTTTTAAGCAACATAAAGCTCTACGAGTAGCTGCTAAATTTGCAAACCACAATTCTTAGATGAAATTGCCGCTACAATTTCCTATCGAATATTGCTTAGAAGCGCATGGTTACGCCTAAAATTAATAAACTAAAAACAAAAACTCTTTAATTTCCATGAGCAAGCCTACCAATAATCTTCTTCCACATGCATATAAATGAGGGCACTTGTTGAAAAATGGGATAGCGAATATAGAATGGACTAAAAAGCTTCTTCCATGTGCATTTGCGAGGAAAGAGAGAGGACGCCCAAAATGCATGTGAACTCACCTATATACCCATCATAGAAACTGAATTTTCGCAAGAAGTCTTGAATTACAAAGAGTCATAAGCGCCTTTTTTGTTGAGGAGGGTATCCAGTCATTCCCATTCCTTGGTCTTTCCTTCTCATCTGAAACCACATGTAATGAAGATATCCATAAAAGGAGGGCCACGACAAACATTAGATGGCAGAAAAAGTATTTGGTTGCAAATAAAAATTTAAAAACCTGTTGTTGATGAGCCTGGGAAGCAGGGCCTCGCATGTTGCTGGGGTTCATCCCACCACCCATCCCGGCCTGAGAAGCCAGATGATTATAAGGAGCCATTCCCTGCTGCTGTTGCATTCGTTGCATATTCAACATATGCATTGGACGGGGTACAGATCTAGTGGTCATCATGTGAGGGCCTTGTATACCACCAGGAACAGCAGATACCTGTGTTCCAAAAAATGGATGAAGGGAGCATTAAAATAGTATCAATGTACTGGTAGGACAACATTTTTATGTTTTGCAGTATCAATTCTGCAATAAAGACATGACTAGAGCAACTGTCTCTGCTCATTGTTGCCTCATGACATTTTCTATGCAAGAAAAAAGAACCTATTATGATGACATTTTTTAAAAAACTTGATCTCATTATCCATTTCTTAGAAGTTAACAACACGAGGGGCATCCAGCAAAAAGAATTTGCCATTATGCCCTTTGAATGAATTCCAGGGGTCTTTTGGGAAACAACCTTTTGCCTTTTCTAGGTAGGGGTAAGGTTGTGTACACCCACCCCTACTCCAAACCCCACTCACGGGATTTCACTTGGTTGGTTGGTTGACTGCCGATGCGCTTTGCAAGAATTTGGTGTTACTTGAGTTTAGATAATTAATTGCAATTTTGCAACCAAATTTTGAATTAAGTTGGAACAATTTTGAGACCAGTTTGTATACATGTTTTAAGTGCTTACTTGCTGGTGTTGGAGATTAGTTATTCCTTCAAACTCTGCATTTGTGTCCACAGGTCGAACTGGATAATTAATAACTTTTTCTCCGGGTTGCATTGGCAGAAGTGCACTATAACACAGTTAAGTGGCAGCGTAGGATAAACATTTGTAACAACAGATTAAATATCTTTCCAGGAAGGGTAGAAAAATAAAGGATTCTTATAAATGAACAGATAATGCATGAAAGGTCATGGACTTCTACATCAAGGCCAGTTCTTTTCAACATATCAGTTGAGTTCACTTCCCTATTCAGTTTAGCAATAAATTATTCAAATAGCAGTTAAAACTAAATTATAAGGCCTCTGCTTCAGTACAGATCATCACTTTTCAGCTCTGTAAATTTGATTTGAAAAGAACAAGCCCTTAGTATTTATAAACAGAAAAGGCAAAGGCAAGAACCAAATATAACTAGCTCATCCATAGTACTAACAGAGACAGCATATCTTCCTCATTCATGCACTTCCAGATAATAACCTTGTTCAAATGAAAATAAAGGCGGGGTAAGGGCATAAAATACTCCCTCCGTCCATAAATAAAGTTCTCATTGCATGTTACGGTGTTTGACTGAAGCTATTTTCAAATCATTTTATATGAAAAATGGTATGGAATTAAGAATTAAAAATTGCATATTTAAAAACTACATAAAAAGATCCACAAAACTAGAGGTGACATAACTATATTATTTTATCAAATAAGACACGAAAATAGGCCAATAAAGTGAATAAAGTTTGACCCTGTGAATAGTGAACGAGAACTTTATTGTTGGACGGAGAGAGTACATCTTTTTATGGAAAAAAAGATTAGGCGATTCTTCAACTTCCTTACACTCCATTAATAAACATGACAATGGTAATGTGGGATGACTACTGAAAAAATAGAGTAAGGAGCAAGGAGAAAGAAGGCTTGAAGTAGACATTGAGAATGGTCCAATTATCTTAATCTTGTACTAATTGTTTAGCCACTTAATTTTACTTGAAAGCTAAAAAACATTTCACTCAAAATTAAAAGAGTGAAGGAGGGACTTCAAAAAAAAAAAAAGAGTGAAGGAGGCAGAGCAGGTGTACTGTTGAATGTTTCAATCAGTTAGGCAAATGAGAGGTCATAGTTTTGCTTGTATGGGCCTTGCGTTAAACAGCTGTTAATTTGGATAAAGTAAGAAATGATAAATACAATTGAAACAGACAATGGTGGAGAAGCTAAAGCAACAACGACAACAAAAACACCCAATAGAGAAGGTAAAACACAAAGATGCAAGGGTCATAGAATGGAGAAAGAATAGATTAGGTAGCAAAAGAAAGGATATTATACTGTGTCGAAGAGGCATATCAAAAAGAGCCAAAGTATATATACATACATATATATATATATGTATGTATGTATGTATGTATATGTATATGTATATACACACACACACAGATATAAATATATGTATGTATATGTATGTAAACAAACAAAAGTACTTACTTGCGGCCAGGTAGAGGTTCCACCCGAAAGTAACTACAATCAAAAGGGAAGAAGGTGAATACTAGAACATATGACAGGTAAAAGTCCATAACATCAAAACAAATACTGTAACAGTACTCTACAAGATGTAATATTACGAATAAAGGCATATGAATATATTCACTACAGAACTATGTATTTATTTACATGCATTTATTTGTTGTCATATACATCTCCATAAAATAGAGACATTCACATGATATTATTTACATGCATTTATTTATCTGAATAATTCACTGCAGAAATATGTTTCTAGAAATTGTCTTTCATGTTTGTGATTCACATGAAGAAAACCCACAAGAATTCAATCAAAAGGCAATGAAGGATTAATTTGAATCAGGGGGATATAATAAGATTTATTTTTGTTTCCTTAACTGGCTAACATTTTCTAAGGCCACTCCAAAGTGATTTATTTGGGTTTACTAGTAAAGTAGAAAGTAAAAACTACACAAATAAAAAATATGATTCCATTATATATAAAAATAGGTAAGGTGTTATCAGTCTTATCACATAAGTCATTTTATGTATGAAGGATAAAGGGAAAAAGAATAAATCTATACTCGTGCTCAAGAGCCTGTGCCGCTGTAATCCGCTTGTGAGGATCATATCTACACATGGTCAATGACAACAAAAAAGTGTCCATATTAATACAAATTGTAATAGCACTATATTCTACATTTATATAAAGTGCACATTACTTCATAAATTCCATCTCAAGCATCCAATTTGGTCTAGAATAGAAATTGAGTAAAGAAAAACAAATTCACAGTATACGAAAAAGAAAGTATATTCAAAGAAAAGATTTATAGGCAACAATGTGAAGAAATTAAATCTAGCTGTACCAAGCAGGGCCCGTATAATATTATTAGCAGTAGAAGACTAGTCCTCTGTAGTAGGTTAAATAAAACTTAATGAATAGCAACTAAAGAAAACAATCCATACTAAGCATATAACATTTTGAATGTACAAAGAAGAAAATAAAGTGGAAACAAATTGAATATGGAACCAAATATGCACCATATGAATATATGATACTGAAAAGAAAAAAAATCAACCCATGTATTGAGTTTTTTTCCCTATCACATAGGACTGAAAGGGAAGGTTGGTTGCAGACAAACATCAGTGGTGGGTGGGTGTAAGTAGACCTGGCAAAACAGAACCGGAACCGATTACCCGAACCGAAATATCCGAAACCGAAACCGAAATGACCCGAAAAATGAAGATCCGATCTATAACCGAAAACCCGAAATGATCCGAACCGAAACCGAACTAAATAATTCATATCCGATTTAAATCCGAAACCGATTAGATCCGAAACCGATAATATCCGAACCGATTAAACCCGAAACCGATTAGATCCGAAACCGAAAATACCCGAAACCGATAAAACCCGAAACCGATTATAAAATGAGAGAAAAACTACTCAAAGATTATGAGAATAGATATAATATATTTGTGATTTCTTTCTCTCTATTAACTCTTCACTCTTCTTCTTATTTTTAATGGTCACCACAATGCAGAGATTAAGCCTCTATTTATAGTGGAGAGGCTTAGTATGAATACAAATACAAGTGGGAACGACTGTACAAAATTGATACTCATTAATAGGTGTCTTAATCTACTATTCTAGAAAGTAGACCTGATTAATTGAATAAATGAACAATCATTAATTTCATAACAATTTTATATTCTTATACTTCTTATTTTTTTACTTCATCCGTCCGGAATACAATTTTTTTTTAAAAAAAATATCATATCTAATAATAGTCTAGCTACAATATATAAGTTATCATATCCAAATTTCTAAAAAAACCTTATAATGCATGTAATATTATTATTAAAAGATTATAATAAATACAATTAAATTTTAATCACAAAGATGGTAAAATAAAACAAAAAATTAAAACTTTTCCTTAAAAACTAAAAATATATTTTCTATCAAAATTATAAATTTAATTAGTCAAATAAAGTGTAAAATAATAAGATTCATAGAAGGAATTAATGAATACATCATTCCCTCGCATACCACGATATCTCCAAAAAATGAAATGTCTAACAAAGTTATTTAAGAAGAGTTAATGTATTATCTTTCATATGCACATACATGTATAATATTTATGTATTCCATCAATAATAGACATTGTGATTGGATTACTTAAAGAGTTATTCTCTTATTTATTTAATGTGAGTTTTATTTTTTAATATAATACGGAGTAACATTTTTATAGCTACATTTTTGTATGCGAGTCAGTGCGAAGCACGAGATAAAAACTAGTTGCTTCGACTCATCTTCCCCAAAAAGTGGTAACCCAATCCTAATACGATTTGAATTTATCTTTTATCTTTTTATTTATAAAGATAAAACTAATGATATTAGTGAAATTTACACTAAATAAG